TAATACAATCATTATTTTAAGATAGAGGAATATATTACAATAAAAATTTCTTAAATTTGTTTAATTTCACCACTACAATGAGGACAACAAGTTATATTTGAATCACTTCGTGGAAGAAATATTTGGCCACCAATTGCAACAGCTGCTCCCATCACTGCACTGCAAGCTACATCTTGCCTGCCTGACATAAGCAACTTGGGACTCATGAGTAGCTGCACACAAATGGAAAAAAAAGTATATATATCATGTATGTACGTATGTATATATGTATGTATGTAATTAATAGTAAAATAAATTATTCAACTAATCAAGCTGCTAGCAGAATCTTACTTGTTCTGCAGTCTTTTCTGCAAGTGTTTTCATATCTAAGCCAGTTATATTAATGTCCTTTTGTAATTGAATATTTTCTACACCACTTAATAATTGAACTTTCAGTATTTCTGCAAGTTGACAGCAACCTTGTGTCACATCTATTATATTTGTACTTGTTAATGCATGTCTTTTACAAGAAACAACTCCAACAGCATCAAAATTTTCACGCAGAATGCTAAGTGTTCTGAAAGAAAAAAGATATATTACAATATACAATTATATTTTCCTTTTGCTTAAAGTATTTTGTTAAAATATTTCCATCAGCAAAGTAAACAACATTTATACATGTCTATTGAACATACCTGTATGTTTTAAGCAATATGTCTCTTATAAGGTTTCTATCCTCTAAAAGTCTTTTTATTGCTTCCTGAAGATCTGTTGTTCTTTGGCAAAGAGCTGCTTTCCATTTTGCAAGTTCTTCAACTATTAAACTGTCAGAAATTGTTATTATTTAATTACATATAATTCTTAGAAATTAAAGAATGTATTGAAATATTTATACATAATAATCTTAAAATTTAAGTTATCATACTAAATAAACTTTAGATTCCAAATAAATCATATATACTTGTGTTGAATTATTTTCATTTACCTACTGGCTAAGAATTTACTTCTCCATACTTCACATTGACCAGCCAACCACTCTATTTGCTCCTGATGGGTTGTAAGATGTTGTGCAGAATTTAAAAGTGCCCTAGCAAGTTGCAATTTATCTTCAGTTAACAAATGGACTTTTGTTTCAAGATCTTCTCCAACAGCAGCTACTAATAAATTTTTTAATTCTCCATTAACCTATTTAAAAAAATTTATAATTATATGCACTTTAGCATATTCATTTTTATAGAAAGCAATGTAACACAATATTTATGCAAATAAATGTTAGGAAATAAATTGAATTAACCCCTTAATCTACAACGTGTCAGTCTCGTGGCAGAAATTCTGGTCAAGATGTGACAAAAATAATGATAATAATAAGAAAAATTAATCGTAATCCTAACTTTCCTTTTAATTTGTAAAACTGAGGATTACTAAATGTAATTAATCTGCAACAGATTAACTTTTGTTACCTGATACAGTAATAAAACAGTAAATGGTTGACGCTTAGATGAATAATCATAAAAAAATCAAAGGTTAAAGGGTTAAGTAAATTTAAATTAGTACATAAAATAAAGAGAACAAATTTTA